CTTCAGAAAAATTTTCTGAAGAAGGGTCCAGACCCGAAACGTCAGCTTTCCTGCTCCTCTGATGCTGCCTGGCCTGCTGTGTTCATCCAGCTCTACGCCTTGTTATCTCCTATGCTGAGTGGTGTGAGCAATGAAGGCAGGTGTGCCAAATGCCTTCTTAACCACTTTGTCTACCTGTGATGCAAATTTCAAAGAACTATGTACCTAGGACTCTCCACAACACTATCTATGGCCCTATCATTAACTGCATAAGTCTTTAGTCATAACTTTAGTTGTCCATGGCTGTTTTTTCTGTGAAGTGGAGCTTTTCCCTCTCAGGGATATAAACTGATTTTGTATTGTGCTAAATGGGTCTCTAAACATCCTCCACCGTTCTTCAATTAGCAGAAGTTTCTAGTTTACTCTGGGCAATGACTTATCTCGTTAAGTGGAACAGGCAATAAATGCTGGCCAGCCTGCTATGCCCACATCCCACAAACGAATTAAAAAACAATTAAAATCGGCTTTATCTAAAGCTAAAATTCTCTTTGTTGATTCATGCTATTCACTTTCAAACACCACACTGAACTCAGTCATGTTACGATCACTATTTGATAAATGTTCACTCATAAGTAGGCTCATTACTACTGAAAACAGAAACAAAGTAATCATTTAGCTTCTCTGCCATTTTTCTATTCCTCTCCCGACCATCAGAAGTCACAAGATACCAGGTTATAGTCCAACAAGTTTATTTGAAATCACAAGCTTTTGGAGCGCTGCTCCTTCGTCAGGTGAAGTGACTTCTGTTGGACTATAACCCGGTGTCGCGGGACTTCTGACTTCGTCCATCCCAGTCCAACATCGGCTCCTCCACATCATTTCCTGACTCTAATGGACCCGCATTCATCTTCACCAAATGTTTCCTTTTACAAACTTAAAGATGATATTGGTTCACTTTAAGATTTTTTTTGCTAGTTTGCATACATTTTCTTTTCTACTTTTCTTTATCTTGGTTCTCCTTTGCGGTATTCTAAAATTCCCCCCAAACCTCAGGTTTGCTACTTTCTTCTGGTAACTTTTCCTTTAATCATTAACTTACTTAGTTAAGCATAATTTTTGAGGGCTTTTATGCCTTGAAGGAAATGTATAGCTTCTATAAACAATTTTTAAATTCTTTAAATAATACTGACTGCCATGTATCATCATACCTTTTAATGTATTATCTCAATTCACCTCAAACATTATAATTTTCTTTGTTCAAAATTTCACTAGAGGTCATTCCCAGAGTAAAAATTATGCCACTTTGAGGCCGGGATATTTCAAAGTAATGTGCGAAATGACATTCAACTGTGAAGTTAGTTCAACCTGAATCTCTGTGCCAAGGTCAAAAAAAAGAATAATTTTTTTCTCCCAAAGTAATGATGCAAGAATGTGAAAGTGCAAAAGTGTGACACATTGCTAAGCTGTCAATGTATAAAGCACCATTATATAAAGGTACAAAGGATTCAATTTCATGGACTAATCTACAAATGAAGTGTCAGGGGGAATGAGTAGATACAGTAGGAAGTTGTCCATAGAAACACAGAAAATATGAACAGGATTAGAACATTAAACCCTTTGAGTCTACTCCACTATTATGATCATGACTGATCAAACTTAATAGCCTGTTCTTGCTCTACCTCTCCCCCCACCTTCTCACACAACATCCCTCCCCTAACATCCTTTGATCCTTTTAGCCTCAAATGCTACATCCAGTTCTTCTTGAAATCATACAATGGTGTGGCTTCAATTGCTTTCAGTGAATTCCACAGGCTTGTCACTCTCTGGGTGAAGACATTCCTCTTCATCTCAGTCCTAAAGGGTTTACCGCATATGCCTAGACTGTGAGCCCTGGTTCTGGATGCCCTTGCCATCACGAACATCCTTCCTGCATCTAACCCTGTCAATCCCTGTTAGAAACATATAAAATTCTCTAAGAGATCTCGTTCATTCTTCTGAATGTCAGCAAACATAATCCTAACTGATTCAACCTCTTTTCATATGCCAGTCCTGCCATCCCAGCAGTCAGCCTGGTGAGCTTTTGCTGCGCCCCATCAATAGCAAGAACATCCTTCCTCAGATAAGGAGACAAACTGCACACAACATTCCAGGTGTGGTTTCACCAAGGCTCTGTATACAGACATCCCCGCTCCTTTACTTAAATCCTCTCGCTATGAAAACCAATGTATCAGTTCTCTTCTTCACCTCCTGTTGCACCTGCAGATTTACCTTTAGCGACTGGTATACAAGGACATCCAGGCCTTGTTGCACCTCTGCCTATCAAATTATAGCTATTCAGTTAATAACCTGCCTTCCTGTTTTCGCTACTGAAGTGGGTAACCTCATATTTATCCAAATTATGTTACATCTGCCATGCATTTATTGACTCACTCATACTGAAACATCACTGTATCCTCTTCACAGTTCACCCTCCCATCCAACTTTAAGTCATCTGCAAATTTTGAGATGTTACATTTAGTTCCCTCATCTAGATCATTAATATATATTGCGAATAGCTTGGGTCCAAGCAGTGCTACCTGCCATTCCACACTAGTCACTGGCTGCCACTCAGAAAATGACCTGTTTATTCCAGCTATTTGCTCCTTGTCCACCAGCCTGTTCACTATAACTATCAGTACACCACCTCTAATCACAAGCACTTGAATTTTATTTTTGTTTTAATTCATTCATGGGATGAGGGTGTCACTGAGTCAACTACATTGGGTCTGGAGTCAAATGCAGGCTAGATCAGGTAAAGACAGCAGTTCCTTCCCTAAAGGACATTAGGGAACCAGATGGATTTTTCTAACAAAATCAACAATAGATTTGTGGTCATCATTAGACTGTTAATTCTAGATTTTTATTGAAATCAAGTTCCACCATGTGCGTGACATGCTTCAAACCTGGGTCCCCAGAACATTACCAAAACTCTGGATTAACAGTCCAGTAATAGTACCACTAGGCAAATCACCTTCCCCAAATGCCAACTTATATGCTAGTGTTTTATGTGGAACCTTATCAAATGCCCCCTGAAAGTCCAAGTAAACAATATCCACTGGCTCCCTCTTATCAACCCTTATCAACATCCTCAAAGTTCTAGTAGATTTGTCAGACATGATTGCCCTTTCATAAATCCATGCTGACTCTGTCTAATCCTGTCACTGTTTTCCAAATTTTTTGCTAGTATAATGGACTCTAGCATTTTCCCTACTACCAATGTCAAACTGACCAGTCTATAATTCAGATTATTGGCCCGTGGGATCTGTTAGCCTCTAATGCCATCAATTTCCCCAACATTTCCCAGTGGCAGTAATTTCCTTCAGTTCCTTTCTCTCAAGAACAGGTATTCCCTAACTTTATTGGGAGGCTATTTGTGTACATGTGATTTCCTACTATGTGGGAGCAGGAATTTTGGCCCATCCAGTCCACACCACCTCTGTAAACTAATTGCAAATCAATTGGCTACTATTTCATTTCTTTTCCAGCACTATATCACTCAGATATAAATGTAGATTCTGCTGACAAATACATTACTGTTCAGAGACCTGGCTGCCAAAAAGCTAATCAAGATGTGATACGCAAATTTGAGTAGAAGGTAAACAGAATTCTAAAAAGCCCAGAGGGAAAGAAGAGTAAGAAAACTGACATCAATTAAAAGTATTTCATTTTGCTCCAATGAGCTGTTTTGCCAAAATCTCAGCAAACCATACCTTTGTTTTGATGCATGTTCTCATCTTCCGATTCAAGCTGACGAGCTGTTTCATCATAAACTGTGTTGCTCACATCAAATCCAGCCAGATTGTTCATTGTTTGTAACATCTCGTTTCCTCTTCCTGAAATTTTCTTTGTAAGTCTCTCGTTATAACTTGCATTAGTATGAAAATTAGCCATATTATCTTCACTATCCAAGTCATAATTCACATCAAGGCGCTCATCATCAAATTCTATGCCTTGAGAATCTGATCCAGGCATGTAGTAAAACGAACCAAAGGAAGGTCGAAGTTGTTTGAAGTGTACAATCCGTGGCACTGTATACTCATAGGTAATGTAAGGACTCTTGCCACTTTGAATAAGTAACTAAGAATGCAACAGCATCAGTTAGAACACCATTACCATTTGAGAAGTAAGTGTGCTTGTATATGTTTCACTATAAGGGTAGTCATTGCAGCTGAACAGTCAAGATAATACATATATTAAAATGAACAGAATATTACATTAACCCAAAGAATGCCTTGGTTGAGAGAAACCTTTGAGAGAAACAAATGGCAAGTAACATTCACGCCAAACAAGTTCCAGGCAATGACTTACCAGCACCAAATTCCCCACTATCAACATCCTGGCAGTTAACATTGAACAGAAACTGAACTAGACTATAGATATAAAAATTCTGTGGCTGCAAACGAGGTCAGAGGGTAGGGATCCTACAGTGAGTAACTTATCTCATCACTCCGGAAAGACTGCCCATCTACAGAGAATTAGTAAGGAGTGTGGTGGAATACTCCCACCTTCCTGGACACGCACAGTTCCAATAATATTAAAGAAGCTTGACACCATCCAGGACAAAGCAGCCTACTTGATTGGCACCACATCCACAAACATTCATTCCCACCACCACTGATGCACAGTGCATACCACCTCCAAGATGCACTGCAGAAGTTCACCTTAGCTCCATAAACAGCACCTTGCAAGTCCATGGTCACTGCCGTCTAAAAAGGACAAGAGTAGAAGATGCATAGGAACACCATGGTAAGTTCCTCGCCAAGCTACTCAACATCAGGACTTGGAAATGCATTGCCATTCATTTAGTGCCACTGGGTCAAAATCCTGGAACTCCCTCCCATGACACTATTAGATATAGGTGCAGAAGTAGGTCATTCAGCCCATCGAGAGTGCTCCACTATTCAATGAGATCGTGCCTAACTGGATAATCATAGAAACATAGAAAGTAGGAGGAGTAGACATTCAGCCCTTTGAGCGTGCTTCGCTATTCGTCATGATCACAGCGAGTCATCCAACGCCATAGCCTATTCTTGCTTTTACCCCATAAATTTTGATCCCTTTAGCCTCAAGTGCTATATCCAACTACTTCTTGAAATCACAGAATGTTTTGGCCTTGACTGCTTTCTATGATAGCAAACTTCACAGGCTCAACTCTCTGGGTGAAGAAATTGCTCCTCATCTCTGTCCTAAATGGTCTGCCCTATATCCTTAGACTGTGACCCTGGTTCTGGACTCTCTTGCCATCAGGAACATCTTTCCTGCATCTACCCTGTATAATCCTGTTAGAATTTTATAGGTTTCTATGAGATTCTGCCTCCGTTCTTCTGAAGTCCAGCAAATATAATCTTTACTGATCCAACCTCTACTAAAAGTCAGTCTTGCCATCCCAGGAATCAGTCTGCTAAGCCGTTATTCTACTCCCTCTACAGCAAGAAAATCCGTCCTCAGATAAGGAGGCCAAAACTACACACAATACTCCACGTGTAGTCTCGCCAAGGACAAAAATAATTGCAGCAAGACATCCCTGGTCCTTTATGCGAATCCTCTTGCTACGAAGGGCAACATATCATTTGCATCCTTGACCAGGTGCTGCTCCTGCATGCTTATCTTCTGTGTCCTTCTGTATGAGGACACCTAGGCCTCACTGCACATTCCTCTCTCAATTTATAGCCAGATAATAACTGCCTTCCTGTTTTGGCTTTCAAATTGGATACCCTCACATTTATCCACATTATACTATATCTGCCATGCATTTGCCACTTAATCATCTTGTTCACAACTCAATTCCACTTTCCTGCTTTATCTCCACTACCCTTGACTCCCCCCTTACTGATTAAAAATGGGTCTATCTCAGCCTTGAATACGCTCAATGAAACAGTCTCTGCAGCCCACTGTGATAAAGAATTCCACAGATTCATTAATCTGAGAAGGAATTCCTCCTTGTGTGTCTTAAATGGCCCAACCCTTACTGAGATTATGTCCTCTGGTTCTATGTTCTCCCACAACGGGATTGAACTCCTTGCATCCATCTATAGCAAAATTCGGCAGGAGCTGGGGAATGTGTATTGGGAGCAGCTGTTTGAGGGTAAATCCACATTTGATATGTGGGCGGCTTTTAAAGAGAGATTGATTAGAGTGCAGGACAGACATGTACCTGTGAAAATGAGGGATAGAAAGGGCAAGATTAGGGAACCATGGATGACAGGTGAAATTGTGACACTAACAAAGAGGAAAAAGGAAACATACAAAGGTCTAGGCAACTGAAAACAGACGAAGCTTTGGAAGAATATTGGGAAAGTAGGATCAATCTGAAACGAGGAATTAAGAGGGCTAAAAGGGGTCATGAAATATCTTTAGCAAACAGGGTAAGGAAAATCCCAAAGCCTTTTATTCGTACGTAAGGAGCAAGAGGGTAACAAGAGAAAGGGTTGGCCCACTCAAGGACAAAGGAGGGAAGTTATGCAAGGAGTCAGAGAAAATGAGTGAGGTTCTTAATGAGTACTTTGCGTTGGTATTCACCGAGGAGAGGAAGATGACGGATGTTGAGGTTAGGGATAGATGTTTGATTACTCCAGGTCAAGTCGGCATAAGGAGGGGGGAAAGTTTTGGGTATTCTAAAAGGCATTAGGGTGGACGAGTCCCCAGGTCCGGATGGGATCTATCCCAGGTGACTGAGGGAAGCGAGAGAGGAAATAGCTGGGGTCTTAACAGATATCTTTGCAGCACCCTTGAGCACAGGTGAGGTCCCGGAGGACTGGAGAATTGCTAATGTTGTCCCCTTGTTTATGAAGGGTAGCAAGGATAATCCAGGTAATTACAGACCGGTGAGCCTGATGTCAGTGGCGGGGAAGCTGCTGGAAAAGATACTGAGGGATTTACACTTGGAAGAAAATGGGTTTATTAGTGATAGGCAACATGGTTTTGTTCAGGGAAGGTCATGTCTTACCAACTTGATAGAATTCTTTGAGGAACTGACAAAGTTGATAGATGAGGGAAGGGCTGTAGATGTCATATACATGGACTTCAGTAAGGCGTTTGATAAGGTTCCCCATGGTAGGCTGATGGAGAAAGTGAAGTCGCATGGGGTCCAGGGTGTACTAGCTGGATGGATAGAGAACTGGCTGGGCAACAGGAGACAGAGAGTTGTAGTGGAAGGGAGTTTCTCAAAATGGAGAACTGTGACCAGTGGTGTTCCACAGGGAGCCGTGTTGGGACCACTGTTGTTTGTGATATACATTAATGATCTGGAGGAAGGTATAGATGGTCTGATTAGCAAGTTTGCAGATGACACTAAGATTGGTGGAGTATCAGATAGTGAAGGGGATTATCGGAGAATGCAGCAGAATATAGATAGATTGGAGAGTTGGGCGGAGAAATGGCAGATGGAGTTCAATCCAGACAAATACGAGGTGATGCATTTTGGAAGATCCAATTCAAGAGCGAAGTATACGGTAAATGGAAAAGCCCTGGGGAAAATTGATGCACAGAGAGATTTGGGTGTTCAGGTCCATTGTACCCTGAAGGTGGCAATGCAGATCGATAGAGTGGTCAAGAAGGCATATGGCATGCTTTCATTCATCAGACGGGGTACTGAGTACAAGAGTTGGCAGGTCATGTTGCAGTTGTATAGGATTTTGGTTCGACCACATTTGGAATACTGCGTACAGTTCTGGTCACCACATTACTAAAAGGATGTGGATGCTTTGGAGAGGGTGCAGAGGAGGGAGGTTCACCAGGATGTTGCCTGGTATGGAGGGTGCTAGCTATGAAGAGAGGTTGAGTAGATTAGGATTATTTACATTAGAAAGACAAAGGTTGAGGGGGGACCTGATTGAGGTCTACAAAATCATGAGAGATATAGATAGGGTGGATAGCAAGAAGCTTTTTCCCCAGAGTGGGGGACTCCATTACTAGGGGTCATGATTTCAAGGTGAGAGGGGAAAAGTTTAATGGAGATATGCGTAGAAAGTTCGTTATTCAGAGGATGGTGGGTGCCTGGAACGCGTTGTCAGCGGAGGTGGTAGAGGCGGGCATGATAGCGTCATTTAAGATGTATCTAGACAGATACAAGAATGGGCAGGGAGCAGACAGATACAGATCCTTGGAAAATAGGTGACAGGTTTAGATAGAGGATCTGGATCGGCGCAGGCTTGGAGGGCCGAAGGGCCTGTTCCTGTGCTGTAATTTTCTTTGTTCTTACCTTGTCATGTCTCCAAAGAATCTTATGTTTTAAAATAAGGTTGTCTATCATTTTTTTCAAAACCAAAAGAACTGCGGATGCTGTAAATCAGGAACAAAAACAAAGTTGTTGGAAAAGCTCAGCAGGTCTGGCAGCATCTGTGGGGGAGAAAACAGAGTTACCGTTTCCGGTCCAGTGAGCCTTCCTTAGAACCTGATAATGGGTCCAAAACGGTACATCATATTCCACGTAGTCTCACCAGTGCCTTGTATATTTTTAGCAAAAGTTTCCTTTTTATTTTAACTCCATTCCCTCTGAAATAACAGCTTGCAGTCCTATTATCTGCTAAACTTGAAATCAGCTTTTTGTGATTTATGCACTAAGACCCCCTAGAATGGCAATTTCTACACTTTTCACTGTACTTCAGTTTTCTTGTACTTGAGTGCATGTGGCAAATAAAATCTAAATCAATAAAAAAATCTTGAAAATATAAAATTTAAGAATCTAATAGACTTTCACCATTTAAATGACATTTAGCTCTTTGATTCTCACTACCAAAGTGCATTGCCTCACATTTTCCCACATTATATTCCATCTGCCAAGCTTGTGTCCACTCACTTAATTGGGTTTATGTGTCTCCAGGCTTCGGTCATCCTCACTATTTGCCTTCCTGTCTAATTTCATGACAGCCACAAACTTGGCGATAGTACATTTACTTCCATCACCCAAGTCATTCATATATAAATAATTTTAGCCCGGATTCCTGCGGTACTCCACTAATTACAGGTTGCCATCCTGCATATGCCCCATTTCTCACAGCCCTCTCTACTAGTTAGTCAATCTTCTATCCATACTAACATGCTACCAAACACTATGAGCTCTTTTCTTATGAAGCTTT